ATGCTACAGCTGGGTAAGCAGTGTCACAGCTGCTATTTAGGTAGGCTGTGTGTCTATTAAAAAAAGAGCACAGTGAAAAAGTGGTTGCTATGCCTAGAGAAAGCTTCATTTTGATACTGTTTCTCATGCCATGATTAGTTTCTTGCCAGTGAACAAGTTTCGTAAAACCAGCACAGGGCCATTTCTAGAGAGTCATTTTGGTAAGAGATCCTAAGCTCTGAGGCTGGATTCGTCTCAATAATGAGCCAATGGTGACTCCAAGTGGTGAACATGTGTAAGTGGCTTCTCCAAGTTGCAATTTCAGCCCAGACTCCTTTGGCTACTACCATTCCCTCCTCATGTGCTGAAAGCTTCTGTCTTTTGAAAGAAAATCACCTCCTTCCTGTATCCCCTACCTGCAGTCATGGGCACCCCAGCCCTCAGAGCAATGCTGCTGTGCTCTGCCTGTCTCATGCCTCCCATGTACTGAACAGGAGGTCTCATTCTCCATCCAAGTGCATGCCACAGCTCTGGACTAGATTGCCCTATGGCCCCTCCACTTTGTTGGGTATGTGATGCTGTATTGCTGGTGGCTCTGCCATGGGGAGTGACAGTCATTGTGTGGTGGTAACAAAGCCAACCATCCTGAACCATGAGTGACTGCTCTTCCCCTCTCTCTCCATCTCTCTAGCAAGCTGACTCAGGACAACCGGATAGAAAGCCCCATTCCTATCCTGCCTCTCCCAACACCAGACACTGAGACAGAGAAGCTGATTAAGATGAAGGATGAGGAGGTGAGTACCATTTCTGCCTGTGCCTCCTGGGTGTTGGAACTGGGATCCCAGGAGTTTCTCCAGGGTTACCCTATAGAGGTGTTCCTGAGGCTTCCCACTCCTGTGGGCTCCTGGGGTGCAGGACAGGGTGTGAAAGCCTTCCTCTGTCAGGGAAACATAACTCCATTCCACCCAGACACAGGTGCCTCTGTGCTCAGACAGGAGTTAATACTCTCTGAGGAATCCCCTTGTCTGCTCCAAGGGGCTGCCACAGTGTGGATCCACCGGTCCCTTTCTGACTCTCTCTTCTGTGTCTCCTGCAGTTACGGCGGATGCAAGAGATGCTGCAGAAGATGCAGCAGCAGATGCAGGATCAGTGAGAGACAGGTACCCGGAGGGCAGAGGGGATCCCCCAGTGACCATCTGAGACCTGGCAAGAGCTGTGAACGTTTAGAAAAGGTTTCCTATTGTATAGAGACTTGTGAGCAAGAGCTGCACCCGCACCCTCTAATTTATTAGCAGCAGTGCTGGCTTTTTGACCAGCTGGATTGTGGAGGAGGCTGTTCACTTAACAGTTTACTGATGTGTATTTCTTTTTTAATAATATTCTTTAATTTCTTTTTTTTTTCCTCTTTTTTTTTTTAAATTTTTTAAAGAAACTAGCCTGGGATGTCTCTAAAAAAAAAAAAAAAGAAAAGAAAGAGATCCCCCTTTCCTATGTACTACTCTCTAGTTTGGGAATGCTCTGGTATTTAAAGTCCTGGTTTCTCTGGTGTACAAACTTAAAGAGTATCTGTGTCAATGCACGTAAGTGTTTACTCCCAACTGAGGTGCTGTGCCCCTGTCCCTGTTCCCCTTGTCTGGGGCCAGCACAAGCATTGTAAAGGCAGCCATACCCTTCTGTGAGTTTGACCTGTGCTGCTTGGGCTTCTCAGCCTTGGGACAGTGCTGGCCCAGAGAACTGGGGCTGGGAGTTTCTCTGTGCACTGACCTGCTCAGGAGTCCTGATGATTGCCTGGTATCCTGTCCAGGTTTTTATAGGTTTTTTGTTTAGTTGGTTGGGTTTGTTCTTCTTATCAAGAAAACTCCAGGATGTTTGCACTGAGCAACAAGAGACTGAGTGCCTTGAGGCTGGTTAGAAGAAAACTGTTCTTGGTTACATCTTTCTGGCAGAGAGGCTGTGTTGTTGACTATTGCCTGCAAGGAGGTGATGAGAATGAGCACCTTTCCTGCCATGGTTTCCTCCCACAGCAGGCTGGAGGCATTGGTAGAGGAACCCTAAGGCCCTGCAGTAGCAGGGTGAGGGTGTTTTGTTTAGCTCTCCTCAGCTGCAGTGTGTCTTCAGTGTCTGCTCTGAAAAGCACTGTGGCATCCAGAGCACTTGGCCAAGACTGATTTGAAGGGGGTAGAAACCCTAGGGCTGAAATCCAAATACAGACCTGTCCCCTATCCCCAGGCTTTGCAGTCCCACGAGCACATTGCTGGCTCTGAGTTTCTCCTGAGGGAAGGGGCAGTTTTTGTAGGCTTGTATCAGAAATCTGCAGGCAGTCTGTGTGGGCAGGTGTTGTGTCAGCCTGGCCAGGTGCAGGACTGCCATTGAGTGGGGCTGAGCAAGCCCAGCAGGCTTGGCTCTTGCTCCCCTGCCCTTCCCCCAGACACTCGACCCTTCTCCCCCTCCTTATTCCTTGGCTCTTCCTGCCCTAGTGCTGGGAAGGCTGGTGGGTCTGCTGGGCAGAGATAAAAGCATTTTTTGGGCAGCAGTTCTTGTCCTGTTCTTGCTTCCTGCAGTATTTTTAACTTGAGTCCAGCCAGAGCAGAGCCCTGGAGTGTGATGTGCCTGGCAGGGCAGGGCTCACCAGCAGCACTGCCACACTCACAGGAGTCAGGGCTGTTGGATGGAGAGACACTTGGCTCTTCCCTCTGACTCCAGGGAATGCAGCCATGGGCTGGGCCCTTCTGCTTCTTGGCTGACTCCTCTGTCCCCTTTCCCCTTTTGTATCTGCTCCTTCATCTCTGGCTCTCCCCAGTAGATCTCCCTGGGTAGGAAGCACAGTGTTGGCCAGAAATAGGCAGGCCCTAGATTCTGCTACTGGGCACTGCATTTGTCTGATTCCTCCCTGGTGCTTTAGAGTCCCAGTCAGGGTTTATCCAGATGGTGAGTAGGTTGGCTGGTTCCAGTTATTCACTGTACAGAGCCTCTGCTCAGCCAGAACATGGGCTGTAGGGGCAGGGGAGAGACCCTGGCACCATGTGGAAGGACAAAGTAAGGATGGAAGCCCTTTGACAGAACTGTGCAAGCTGGGAAAGAGCAGTGTTCAACAATGTTCAGGGCTTTTTTTTCATGTTCTCCTATTTTGGGCTCATGAGTGGCAGTGCCATCCTAGGAGAGCGGAAGGATTCAGCTTGACTTCAGTAACATGAAGGACCAAGGCACCTGAGAGGAAGTATAATCTTTCTTTGCATGATGTGCTTAATTGAGCAGTGGAGTAACCTGAAACAGGAGCTTCCTCCAGGTTTTCCAAAAAGATGGAATTAAAGATGAGTTCTTGGCTTTTTCTGTGCTAACATAAAAGGGAACAACTTGAAGTACCTGTCCCCTCTTTTCTGACACTAATCTTGGTGAGGATGATGTTCTGTTGCAAATGAGCCCTGTCCACCTGGATATTTTCCTCTTTCAAACATATTAATTCATAGACAATAAAGGAGACCTTTTCCCTTTAGCATGGACATAGAGCAGCTGACATCTTTCATGCTGGGCTGTGCACTGAGATGCCATGTGCTGGTGAAAGCACAGGGTAGACTGGTCACAGGCAGGCAGGGCTGCTGAGGCTGGATCTGCCCATCCCTCCATGTGGGGAAGTCTCCATCAGCTCAGTGCATGTGCCTCCTACAGAAAGTCGAGGATCACAAGCCTGTCCTCTACAGAGAGCTGAAGACTTTGGCTACCAGCTGGCAAAGATAGTTCAAGTTGCATTTAGGAAAAACACACAGGAGTGAGGCAGCAGAGATAGCAGAGGGGTGGTGGTACCATGTCTCCGTGTAGGAGGTTCCCTGCCCTGAGTGCTGGGATTTAGGGACTGCTTGGAAAGATTGATTAGAAAATGATATTGGGGGACATCAGGGATTCAGATTCTGGCCTGGAAGGTGGAATCTATTTGTTTAAGGAGTGTGTTGTACTGTGGCACTTACTCCACTCCAGTAAGTGGAGAAGAGACTCCTGAAAGCAGGGAGTTTGGCCATGTGCCTCTGGCAGTGAAAAGTGTGGATAGGAAAGTAATTTACTGCCTTCCCTTTCACACAACCCTCCACAGTTTCACACGCGATCCCTGCACCCCCTGGCACATTCCCATGCCTCTGCCAAGCTTTGCCCTGCTGAGTGAGTGGCTGCAGGGATGATGTCCCACTCTACAGCTATCCCAGGCTGCAGCTGGGGCTGTTGGTATATCTTGGCCCCTGTGCCTGACAGGATGGATCCATGGCATGAACTCCTTGTGTGCCAGTGCTGTGCTGGTCCTGCCTGTGCAGTCCTTTGCTGCCTCCTTGCATGCCTCCCCTCAAAGGAGGGGCTCCTACTCCTCATGCTCTGCAATGGCATTCCCTGCTCTTCCTCACAAACCCTGCTGTGCTTTAATGCTGGCTTGCTCCTGCCATGCACCTTCCTCACCCCCTGCTCCATTCCTAGGCTCTATGTTTCCTGTCCATCTGTTGGGTTATTATATTTTTTTGTAAATTTCTGTTTGAACATTTTGTCATTGTGAACAAAGAAAATGAAACCTTTTAAACATATCCATTTTATTAAATGATTATTGTTATTATTATTAATGTTTACTACCTGAATTGATCAGTGAAATAAATACATTCAAAAATCCAACCTTTTTCTGTTTAATTTTCAGCCCCCTTCAGCAGCATTGGTGCTGAAGCATTGGTGCATACATTATAGGCAGGAGAGAACAAAACTGACCCTGTTTCTCCTTTTATCTAATTCAGTCAGAGCAAGTTTCAAGCAGGCTTCCTGCATGGGATTTTTGGCCTATTTATTACAGAAGCTAGCAAGATGATCTTGAAGGTTCTTCTGTATTCAAGTTTCCTCTAGGAGTGGTGTCTAAATCATCAGTGGTCAGCTGGGCAAGGTCCAGTCCCAGGAAATCCAGTTTGTAAGTAGCCAGGAGAGCATTGCCAAGTCCATGCTGCATGCAGAGCCACAGTGGGTCTGGCTCTAGATCAGCTCCACACCACACCTGGCCTGAACACCTGCCTGTGAATAAACATAGCACCAAACACATCAGATGAGGTAAGTTTGCTGAACAAACTTACCCTGTGGTAGTCAAGCTTCTCCCAAGTGGAAAGCAGGCCCTGCAGGAAAAACTGGGTTGGTTGGTTAGCCTCAGAGCTCTTTCCCACTCTGTCTGGCCACCACAGTGAAACAACTGGAATTATCTGCTCCAATTTTGTAGAAGTTTAAAGTTTAATTGTTTTATTTAGAGCATAATTTCCCTTGGTTAGGGCCACATTCTAGCATTTTTTGCACCCCCAATTCTCTTAATATGAGCACATTCAGGATATTCATTATAGAACGTCCATGGAACAATGTAACAGCTGAGTTCAATGGGGCAACAGTTTCACAACGTGATTCTGGTGGCCTTAGGCTAATAAGTGTAGTGTTTGCCTGGTCAGGCTGATGGCAGAGAAATGACAGCGAAGATGCGATGGCCATGAGAAGATGTGAGTCTGCCTGAATGTAGTTTTGACCCTTGGACTTACCTGTTCAAGTATTTGTGTAATGCAGCTTCTGAATAAAGCATGTGGTCAGTCTTTCTCAGTAACTGCACTTGTTACTTGGGGTGTGGGCTCACTTGGCTGCCTGAAGAGCAGTTCCTCAGAGCACTGTCTTTCCGACTCTGTTGGCCTTCCTGTGAACCCAACTAGTTTTATTATGATGTAGACAATGAAATGCCAAGAGTAATATTTTACCTGTATAATGATCGTGAGAGGATGCAAGTGTCTGAAGAATCTTTCTCTGGAAAAATGGATGGACTGGAAGACCATGTCTATCAGCAGATCTTTCACTAATCTTACTACTAATAAGTAGTAGATTTGTGTCACTGCTTCAAGGAAAACCTGAGGGTCAGCACCCAGAAAGTGCTAGGTGTCACCACTCTGCCAAGCTTTCCTGATGTGATGGCAAACCAAAGGTCACAGTGCTCAGGGAGTATGGTACAAACCAGTAACATCACCTTCCAGTCTGAAGTGCATTTTGAGTTATTATGCCATTGAGATTAGTAACATTTCTGTTGGGCTAAACCTGTTGGCCCAGAATCACAGTTATCAGTACTGGCAGCATATCTCCCACCAAATGTGTTCTTGTGAGCAATGTCAGTTCCCATTTCTTGGAAGACTTAATGAAGCCTCAGCTTCCGGTGACATGCAGCAGACTTGCAGGAAGGCCTCATGTGGGCGGTGTCCCTGGGATGAGCCTGACCCTTATCATGCCAGCCAGCTGCAAGGGGATTATCCGGGGACACAGCTATGCACACACTCTTGCACTGGCTGGACAGCCTCAAGCCCTTTCTCTTGTGTTGTAAAGCCAGCAAGAAAGCAAGGATTGAACTACTCTGGTAAGTCAACAATGCCACCTTCTACTCTTTTTTTTTTTAAAAAAATTTTTAATTGATTGACAATTACAATGTACAATACAAAAAACAGAAAAATGCTGCCTTGTTGCAGGTATGTGTAGTCGCTCTCTTGGAGAAGTTACAGCAGCTCCTGTTCAGCAGTGGCATGAGTCTGTAACATAAAAAAGCTCATTGACTCATGTCTCCCAGCACAGGTGATTTTTCACCTGCTGGAGCAGTGTCCAGCATGAAAAATTCCATTGGCCTCCATCCTCAGTGATCAGCACCCTCTCTGCAGCCAAAGACTGTTTTATCACTTCTTTTCAAGGCTGGAAAGGCTATTTTTAGTAAATGTGTTTCTGAATCTCCCCTTACAGTTTGCATGAAAGAAGCTTTGCTTACAGATGTTATCCAGAGTTATGATAAGGCATGAGAAATTTCATATTCTAGTTTTTGATTCCTTGACAGAAATTTTCTTGACTACCATGATAATGTATTGCCAGTAATGCTGAAGACACAATCAGCTTTTACACACTTCCAAGGACTAGTGAAAATGTTGTATTTGATGGCTTGCAGCTAAGCCTTCCAGTAGCCATATGTTCATATTTCTCAAATCCAGGGTTGGAAGACCATGAAAATTCCTTCTCCTATAGTGAGAGACCAAGAATTTGCTCTCTTTTAACTCTGTTCTTTTCAGAGCTCTCACGTCTCTGGTAGAGGACACCAAATTCACCCAACTTTAGAAACATCTTCAGAACAAAACAACAAACGACCTTGTCTGTGGTGTCAGTCCTGGAGTGCGTGGTGTTTGGTCTCTGCCTCATCCAGTCTCACCAGGGAAGTGTTTGCAGATGAAAATGAACAGTGGAATTCTCTTGTCCCTTCTTGGCTTCCTCCCACTCGTGACACCCATATGTCCTGCTCCATGCAAGTGCACCACCAACATTACTGACTGCTCATTGAAAAACCTGACTGTAGAAAACCTGCCCACTGCTTTCCATCCTTCAGCTGAAATCATCCACCTCGGTTCCAACAGGCTCACCTCTATTCCCAATGGGCTCTTTGACAACCTGAGGAGCCTCCAGGTGGTCTACCTGCAGGGCAACCCTTGGGAATGCACCTGTGACATCCTCTACTTGCGCTCCTGGCTCCAGTGGCAGCAGAACCGGAGCCAGTACAGGGATGTGAGATGCAGCTCCCCGGAGCACCTGCAGGGCCGGATCATCGCCTACCTGACAGAAGATGAGATCATCTCCACATGCCAGCACTGGTACTGCAGCCTGGCTCTCCTCTCTCAGATCTCTCTCTTCATCCTCCTTTTTCTCCAGGGTATCTTGGTTATCTTCATCATTGTCTACCTTCAGAAATTTCGGAGAATGACCACTGAAGCCTGGAGCACCACCCGGGAACTAGACCAGCGGGTAGACCCTTGGGCATCTTCTTCAATAAACCCCTCCAACAATGATTAACATCACAAGACAGAGGACCCTCCTCCCTTTGGGGGACACTGTGTCAAAGTCCTGTAGTTTGTGATACCCAGAGGGGACAATTCATTACAGCATCTAATCCTGACTGCAGTCTGAAGCAGGATTTGAACTGATCAGACACTTGCTGTGTTCCTAAAGAATCAATCTTCTGTTTTTTCAATGCTTTTAATACTTTAGCATGATCTTGACTGCTTGTCTGAGCTAGAAGTGGTTTGGTAGACTAAGAAAGTTATAAACTACAGCAACCAGAACTGACTCATAGGGGCTCATTAAGCTCGTAGGGGCTCCAGTGCTCGATCCCTCCCCTCCTACTGTATTCCAGCCATATTTCCCAGGATGCTTCTGGTTGTGCTGGGTTAGGTGAGGACAGAGGTGGGCAGTGAACTGGTTGAGTACTGAGCTAGGACAATACACTGAGCTAGGAGAAATAGAGTTTCCTTCTATTGCCACAGACAGCATTAAGAGCTTTTGACTAGAGATTTAGTCTTCTCCTGCCTTGGTTTCCCAAGTAAAAGGGAAAGGAAATACCTTCTTGCTTGATGCATCTTTTCCAATGTTCTTCTGGGGAAGGGAGGGCATGTCTAGAAGCCCACTCATTTTACCTTATCTGCATTCCTTTTAATCTACTTGAGTTTTAATACTGACTTAAGTGAGTGAGACTGGGGCCCTGAATCTTTATAAGAAATTCATCCTGAAGATGAGAATTGTTTGACTGTGCCTGTATGGACCTGGCACGAGAGATCTGGTCATGAGAGACAAACTGCAAACTCCACTGATGTGCCAACTGCTGTTTATGGTGTCCCTTAATTGTTTTTGAAATAAAGCAAAATCGAAATAAAATGATGCATGATGATGTAAATGGCTTATTTTTCTGTTCTGCGTTGGGTGTATTGCATGCTGTTGTGCTCCCTGGAGTTCCTCACCCTCAGACTTAGTGCCAAGCAAAACAAATCCAGAGGGCAGGTTACAGAGTGCGCTGTAGGTTTAAACTTCAGCAGCTGCTGGCTTCTACCATGGGCCAGGATAAATAGGGAGTTTCTTCTAAAGGCACTGCTGGCTGCTTATTTTGTGATGCTGCTAGAATGAGCATTTGGTGGGGCCAGCAGGCTGTGGGGTGAGCAGAGGGTGAACAACCTGTGCCCTCCAGCCCCCAAACCCACATCACAGGGTGTCCATTCTCCACTCGGCTCACACACAAATGGAGCTCGGCCACGAGAAGAGCCCTTTGCCCAGGGGCTGCGGGCAGAGTGGTGGCAGGGGATGGGGCAGGATGGGGCAATGGCCAAACAGATGGGGGAAGGTGATGGGACATGGGACAGGTATGGGCAGTAGCAGAGCAGTGACAGGATATGGGACACGTGAGGGCAGTGACCGAACAGGAGGGGACAGTGGCGGGAGCCGGGACAGGCGGGGACAGTGGCGGGAGCCGGGACAGGAGGGGACAGTGGCGGGAGCCGGGGCAGGAGGGGACAGTGGCGGGAGGCGGGACAGGCGGGGACAGTGGCGGGAGCCGGGGCAGGAGGGGACAGTGGC